TATTCATTCTGTATTTTTTGTAGTATTATTAAATGGATAAGATACGATAAAATCATGCAAAGTTCAAATTTTATAATTGAAAGCGGTAGTAAAATTTTGTTGAGATCATAAAATTTTCTTATCACTAAAAATTTCTCAAATAATTTTCTTTCTCAAAAATAACGAAAAAAAAAAGAGTTATTTTCAGATGATACATCAAGCGATCGATCTGATCAATCGAAGTGAAAGTATGTTCATTAATGTAGCGGAGGATTTATTAGAACAAAAAATGGTATTTGTTGTTGGTAGCATAGATGGTGACCTAATTAATTTAGTCACATTATTAAAAAATGAAATGCCACCAACAGCTTATTATATTTTTTTGGGTTAGCGTTTTAATTATGCCCTTTTTTGGAGTTTTTTTTTTTTTTTTAAAATGTTTCTTCGATTAAGTTATTTATTTGTAATGAAATACTATGAGTAAATCATTTGTTATTAATTTATTGATAATATTTAAGCATCGTTTGTTTATTTATTTATTTTTTTCTTTCTCTTTCTTCCAATTTTTCTAACTATTTATTATTTGGTTTTTTGCTAACAGTTACAATTTGTAAATTTGAATTTAAAAAAAAAACTGCCAAATTTAAAAGTCAATTTGATGATGATATGATTAAAGTGAAATTTTTTACATTGTTATCATGGATTTGATATTGAAATTACAGATATGAAGTATGTGTACTAATGATTAATCTTCCATTCATGCATGCATGCATTAAACTTTACAGGAATACTTTCATAATTGCTAATAAATTTATCCAAAATGCATGCATTTGTTATTAGTAGCAAAAAATGCATGCATTTTATGCGTGCAATATCTGCAGGCGATTATTTGGATTGTTTTAAGCCGTCACGGATCGATGCATTACTGTTATTGCTAGGTCTAAAATTACGACATCCACGGTATATTTGCCTTTTTCGTGGTCATCATGAAACATATGAAATGTGTAAAGCAATCGGTTTTGATAAAGCGGTTGGTCATTTCAAATTTAGCTGAATTATTCAATTTGCCAAAAAATTATTCATTTATTGAATTTTATTTTAAATAAATAGCTCGAAAAAGTACATTCTATAGCTGCCTCAAATTATTTTTTGCAGCTTTTTTCCTTTGTATGTTTATTTCAGAAAAAAAGTTATTTTAAATTAAATTAATTGGACAAAAATATATACCTAATTTATGAGCAATCGTTATATGAGTAATTGTTATGTGAGTAATTGTTATGTGAGTAATCGTTACGTGAGTAATCGTTATATATTGTTTCATTATATTGAATGAAAAACGAGAAAAATTTCTTAGATAGTCAACAAACTTAACATTTATTAGATAGTAAAAAAAATGAACTGAATCAAAAAGAAATTTTAATAGTCAAAAAATGATAAAGTAATTTATAATAATATGAACAAATTAATTACTTGCAGATTGCAGATGAACGATTACTTCAAAGTTTTTACGTACTTTTTGAATATTTACCTCTTCTCGGAGTGTTTGGTAGTATGTCAATTTTGACTTGGTTTTTTTAATCATATCATCATAATGCACAGCTTTCTTATCATATCACCAAGATTGCATAATTTTCTTGCTATATTAACACAATGCATAATTTTCTTATCACATTAGCATAATGCATAAATTTGTGTTTGGTTTTTTTATAACTGTTGGTAATTAGGAGAAGTTTTCTTTTAATAAATTATTAACAAACTTTTTTTTTCACTTAACATTTTAACATTTTCCATCAGTTATTACAGGAAAGCAGAATGCAAAAAAAAGGAATAGTCTTAATGCTATTTTAATTTAAATTTAAAAAAAAAAAACCATACTAAATGAATTTATCAAAAAGGCAAAAAGAGAAAAAAGTTGACACACTATAAAATTAACTTTTTATTACTGCATATGAACTGTTTCAGGGTGGATAATTCCACTTCAAAAGAAGTTTTAAAAGATAAAAAACAAATGAAACTATCAACTATAGGCCTAAATTTAAATTTAATATTTAATCATCTGCAGAATTTTTATGTCTTCATGCTGGCATTTCACTATTTATGGCCGAAAATTCGTTTCTCCAAGAATTCGTAAAACCAATTGAAGTTAAACGAATGACTGTAAGAGAACGATCCACTTTAACCGATATACTTTATGGAAGACCGGATAAAGATTTACCGGCGTATGTTTATAAACTTTTTTCTCTCATCATAAAGCATTTTCAAAATGTAAATAGATTTTCAAGAAAACATAAATAATTAAATATTGAACGGCATTTTTGAATTGATAAAAGATTTGATTATTTATAAATTAAAAGCAATTTATTTGATATTATTTTACTCATATTTCATTTACTAACACGTTTGTATTCCTGAATATTATCATTGAGTATATTTAAATTTATTGCTTGTGAAAAAAATTGATAAAAAATGTAATTAAAATTGAAAACAAAATTTCATCATTCATATAATTTGCAGCATTTTATTTGATGTAATTTTTTATTCGTATTCTATGCGAAATTTTTGAAATTTTTTTTGCAATAATTTGTTAAAATTTTTAGTAACAAATTGTTTTTGATAAGTTGAAAATTGATTAAATATTTGCAGATTGTTTGCTCCATCAAATATCTATCCAATTGGATATCGTTTTAACTTAACAGGATTACATGAAACAATTCAAATGTTCGATTGCAAACGATTAATTCGTGGTTGTGGCTGTCGCAATTCAAATGATGTCAATTTTGATTTTGATACAACAGATTGCATTAGTCTTGTTTCAGGTCGTAGTATCAGGCATGCAAATTATGAAAGTAAGTGTGAGAAATGAGTTTTTTTTAAATAAATTTTATTTAAAAAAGATTGAAAAGAAATGAATTTTTTAAAATAAATTTTATTTTTTCGCTTTGATCTCAATTTATTCCATAGCCTGTGATGCCATTTTTTTATCTCGTTCAATTTTAAGCTTTAACATTTTTTGCATTTATTTTGTGCATTTGCTTTCTTTTCATTTCATGGCGCAAATTCCCTCTCTGTTTCATAATACAAATGCCTTCGAAGAAAAAAAAAAAAGAAAAAAAAAACGAACTTGTTGAATGAACGCTAACATCATTTCTGATACTTTCAAAATAACACAATAAATAAGATAATTAAGTAATTCACATTTATAGTTAATGCATGTTTTATCTATCAATAGCAGCTTAGTATAAAATAACTATCAAAGTTTAGTATAAAATAAATAGCTTAGTATAAAATAAATGTTAAACTTTAGTATAAAATAAATATCAACAAACTTTCATTTCGTTTCTTTTTTTTTTTTGATAATTCTTTGATAAAAATAATGAAAAGTAAAAACTTTTTTTAAAGGATTTACAATTCGAATTTATGAAAATGGTCAATTTGAATTGCAATATATTGATAAAGATTCTAGTTGGGATTTACAACGCAAAAATTTTTTGGAGAAATCAGTAAATCATTTCATTAATACGTATGATAATTTATTGCAATCGATACCGCACGAATTTCAATTTGATTTGCCAATGGGATGTGCTGCATGCGAATGGATTAATCAAGGAAAGAAACATGAAAATGTTACAATATCGCATGCATTATTGAAAAGTTTTGCTAAAGGTATTAAGTAATTAACGTGTAAGATGTAATAATTGGCTAATTATCGGCTATTCTAATATTCGAAACAATTATTAAAAAAATTTTTTTAAGTAAATCTAATTTGCATCTT